CGGTCTGAGGGCTCGAGTCCAGCTCCTCGGCGAGGTCTGGCAGCTCTGCGTAGGTGATGTAGAAGGCGTAGGCGCCGGCCTGGAGGATGGGAATGGAGATTTCGATTGTGCGATTGAAGTCGGGCACGAGTCTGAGTCGCGCATGAGCTTCAATGCTGCAGTCAATTGAGGAGCAATTGGTGGTGAAGCTTACTTGAACTCGCGGAACTGGTCTCTGTGGAACTCGGCGCCCTGCTCAGGAATGTTGACCCACAGACTGCCATGGCGACAGATGGAGGAGGTGCCCTCAATTGCGAAGCGGATGGTTACGGGGTCGTTCGTCTTGGGAGCGAGGTAAACATACTCGCCGGCGACGTCGAGAGAGCCATCGTCGTTCAGCGGCAGGAGGTAGACTTCGTTGGACATCATGGTCTTTGGCACCATCCCTCAGATGTTGTAGGAGGCAGCTTCGTGCCCCGCGGACAGATCGGCGTAGGTAGACTGGGTCGTGGGCAGCGCAATGACTCGAATCATGCACTGCACGGGGGGCGAATCCGCTCGAGGAAAAACACGCCGATCCGGGTTGCAGGCGACAGGGGACGAATTGGCGACGGACGTCAACGCCAAAGCCTTTGAAGGGTATCTGCTGCTTGGAGGAAACGAAGGAATTGAGGAAAAGAGAAGGATTGCGGTCAGAGTGTGGCAGAGGGAAGAAAAGAAAACACGATGCTGAGGTAGACGATAGCGACGGACAGAGCAAAAGGTCAGCTTGGTAGCGTGGTAAGGTAGCTCTTCGAAAAAGGTATGGCGGGGTGTCAGTGGCAGCTCAGGAATTGGCGAAGGACGAGCTCAGCTCACCGACCGGCCGGAAGCTGTCGCACAGCAGCAGCAGACCGAAGAAAGGGCAGGACTGGTCCGCGGGAACTGCTCCGGCCAAGGAACTTTTTCGAGCGAAGGATTGGCAGACGGGGAAGTACTTGCTGCTAGGCTCATGGCGGCGTCTTTGTTCTTTCTTTCGTGGAAGCAGTGCTCAACCCATCTCGAGGTACATGGCTGCGCTGGACCTTCCATGCCTGCCAACTTTAGCTGCAGCAGCGAAGGTGACGGCACCAACAGGAAAGAACCCAGGTCCAAGGCAGTCTGAACACGAACGATGGCGGGGCAAGTCCTCCCCCATACAAAAACATGGGAAAGATACATGGTCTGAGATTTGGAGCTGCCAAACCTCCCCGGAACGGATAGCTTCGGCGGGGACAGCACAGAGCGGTGGAGCGCCCTAGCGGGGTTTGAGTTAGCGCCCAGAAGCGCGTGGAGCTCGGGAGACCTGACATCGCGATCTCCATGATTCCAGACCGCGAATTCCCACTTTGTCGCTGCCATGGATCGCGATGATAACCACTCCTCCCAATGTCACCATTGTCAGTGGCCATCCGTGCACCGTGTTCCATATCGTACAACATGGGCCGCGACTGGGGTAGAAAAGCGACATGCTGGGGGCGGAGATTCAGCAGCGAGGCCAGGCCCGGCCCGGCCAGGCCAATGCCAATCGTCGCAGATATCCATGTTTTTTCTTGCGTTGCGACTCTCAACAGTTTGAAGCGAAGCATACTGCCCCTGCTTCCTTCAATCGCATTGTGGTTGACAGTCGATTCTTCAGTTCTGAGCAGCGCATAGCTCGTTCTTGGTGTCCGTAAGAACCAAATATCAGTCAATGCATGACTCGGCTCGACGCTGTGCTTCCTCGGCGAAGATTCCGGTCCAATTCATCTCTTGACTGGTCTGATTTGTTGTGATTCCAGAAGCAGACTACGGCACATTTCCATCCCCCGGCCGAGAAATAAGAGGCTAGAACCACAACAGCTCCCATCCCGGTGCTGGCATGACGTCACCAACTCGTCCCACCGCATTCTAGCGCCTGACAGCCTGCACAGACGCGGTTTCATGCCCCTCCTTCCTGGTTCTTTTTCTTGGTGAGCTACCATCGCGGTTTTTCTGCCACTTCAAAGCCACGCCCTCGTCCACGCCAGACCCTCGTCAGGACTCAACACATCCCCGTTGTGCCTTAGCCGGTTCACTACTCAGCTTGCCCTGTCCGTTTGAGCCGACTGCGTGTCAATTAACTTTCGTACCTGAACATCTCCTGCCGTAACGGACCTTCAATTTGTTTCGACAGTATTTCTCGTGTTTGCATGAGCATAGTATCAAGGAGGATTGCTTGTCTTTCGTCTGATCCGTTGCCATCAACTAAAGAACCCAGTGTGATATCTGGGTGGCTTGTTGAAGGATGGGAGTTCCCTTTTGAATTCTAAAGTCAATCACAACGGGAGATTCAATTGCTACCACTCAATCGTCGCATTGTCCTCGGCCTAAGTATCTCTCACAAGTCTGTGGTCGACAACTATCGACACAACTATTGCAGTCCGTGCCAGCACGCATGCTGTCGATTAATATCTGGCACAGAATATCCGACACCTTCCAGAGCCTCGAAAATGTCCCCATATACTCCTCTGTGTACGAATTCTAAGCAATCGGGTGCATCTTGTGGGAATGTTTCCCGTGCTTGGAATTCTTCCAGGGCCCAGTCCACAAATTCTTTCTCGTCCTCGTCATTCTTCAAGGTGCAAGAGAAAAATTGAAGCGGTTGATCCTCCCAGTTTGGATTCTGCGCCAAAACTGGACGCACAATGACATGCTCTACGTCCTGGAGAACGGAGATGACGGATTCTGGCGTCTTAGACATCCAATTGCACAGCTGTTGCAAAATAAAAGCGTCGTCAACTTCAAGGTACAAATGTGTAAACTTTACCGCTCTGGATTTGGTGAACAGCCCATCCTCAAATTCAGCGATTTGCCGCTGACTTGGTATAGCCAACGCGTGCGAGTCTTTCAACACGACGAGGTATCTTGGTGGTGGCTGCCGCTGTAGAACACCAGCTGATATGAAAGACTCTATTACCTCCAAAACACCTTTCTCTGTTAGGTCGCCTAAGCCCTCTCCGATCGCAAATCCCAACTGCTCCAGCAGAAAACAACGCCAGGCAATGAAGAGTTGACTGGAATCGTCCGGGTCCGATGCCTTCGACATGGCTTGTTCTCCGAGGTAATGTATGCACATTTTCATGAGTTGATATCTTTGAGACTCATGCTCATAATCGTCGTGTACCCATATGCATGAGCTTGCCCCCACGAGAGCGGCACCGGCTCTTGTGGCATAGCCGTCTCCATCAAGCCAAAGGACTCGCATAACATATTCATAATACTGATAATTTGAAGCGACGAGTATGAAATAGTCGTGGCTGCTGAAAGATGGAGGTGACTTTGAGAAGTCGTCGATCATGTGAGCGTGCTGATGAGCGCGACGAAACAACTCATAAATTCGCTCCGAACCCCCCGATCCACTCCCAAGCCCGCCAAGGATCCTGCTGATTCCGCGGAACCGATGTTCACGGTGATTGGGCGTGCATACAAGGATTGTAGCGGCGTTGATGATTCTTGAGTGAATGGTTTCATAACTTGTCGCATATTTACCGAACAGCCGTTGTCCTTCGGCGCCGTCGAGGAAATCGATCGCAGTTCTGTGTGTAAACCTGACATATGCCGCCTCGGAGTCCCATTTTTCCATTGCAAGATACAGATAGCTGACGTCGTTTTCTTGAAGGAGGCTCAAGTTGTCCCGATCGTCGCGATTGCCCAATTTGCTTTGGTGCGGAAACAAATCTGAGAAAGAGGTTTGGGTCTCCAATATTCCAGCACAAATCGGGAAAAGAGTCCTATGCATGTGGTTGCATCTCCGTACTAGATCCATTGGCGAAGGCAGCTGATCTCGTTCCGTGAAGTTCTCCAGGATGGTGTCGTCCGAAGCCACGGCAAGACAGGCAATAGTCAATTCGTGATCCGCCCAACGGGTAATGTCGAAGTATAGAGCTGCCATTTCGACGTAGCGTTCCTTCCTTTGATCTAACCTCAACCACATGTCTTTGTAAAGCCTAGTGAGATCCGGTGGCAGGTCAAGGATACGTTGAGATATCTCGTCCCACCCTTCGTCAAGCTCTTGAACTCCATTTCTGACGTTTTGAAGTGCTAGATGGACCCAAATGAAGACGCCATCGGCCTTGTCCAAAATTTTATATGCGATTGAACTCCGCATTTGATCATGAGGCTCGAGGCCTAGTTCTTCGAGGAATTCCATGGTAAAATTACAGATATCTTCGTAGTTCACGTCGTGCATCCGCAGGTGTAGATAGGAATAGAACCTATCCAAGAAGATTCTTTCGGGACGACTCGAAAGGCAGAGTTTAACCCTTCTTTCCTTCATTAACGTGTCCAGGAAGTCGAAAAGCTCTCTCAGTCCTCGGTGTGGTTTGGCCATCTCATCCAGTCCATCCAGGAGAATGAGGTAAGAACGGTTACTGGAGCGAAGCGTCATGAGGAGATGTCTTTTCAATTCCTCCAAATCCCAGTCAGTCTCGTCGTTCTTACGCCTCAAGCCAGGCGTTTTGCGCAGAAGCTGAGCACAAACGTCCACATCTATGCTCAGAACTTGATGGAGCAAGGAGCATAGTAGACCATGAAAGCACTGTTGAAGCTGTGTTCCAGGTTTCCAGAAAAAGTGCGTGATTATCGCCGGCCGTGGACGCCATTTACTCAGAGAGGTCATTGTCCGCTCGTCAGATGTGATGAACTTGACAAATGTACTTTTCCCAGATCCGGGTTTTCCGCTGATCCAGAACGTGCCAGATTTATCTCCTTGGAGCCATCCAAGCAGATCAGCCTTTGCTTGGTTCCGCTTGGCTTCTGCGACTTTCTCGCGTCTGTTGCGCCTGTTCCAGTATTCGGAATCCCTCCAATCCGCATCGCTGTCGGTCCCAAAGACGCTATGATTGTCGGGCTTGGAGACAGAAGTTGAGTATTTACTAGGCCTCAGTCCTTCGAATACCCATTCGAATGTACCGTCGTGCTTTTCCGGTATAGCGTTCTTTCTCTCGTTCATCCGAGGATAATTCAAGCTCTTGAGCAATCTTTCACAGGCCTGCTCATGACGATTGTTAGTTTCCATCACACCGATCGTAGTCGTTAAGGTCTCGCGGGTAGTGATGTGTTCTGTCATGTTATGGCCGCGAGTCTTGACGTGTTCTTCGTTGATGTGACCCGGAAGCTGTTTGATGAGGTCCTCAATGACTTTCGACCGCTTTTTATACTTCTCGATGAAGCTATGCTCTTTCGAATCAAGCATGTCGTAAATTTTGCGACTCAGACTGCCAGAGGTAATGCATTGTTCGAGAATTTGGACATTGACATCGGTATCCATTGTGCTTTGCGATGCTTGAAGTTGGCATTTGAGCTGATCAAGATGGGGCTTTCGCCAAATGGTTTTCACTGTAGATCTCAACGCCCGGGGAATGCCGGACTTCTTGGGAGAAGCTGAAGCGATCTCCTCTTCGATGTCCTTGGAATACTGGAGACACTCGGCAGCGATGTCCCGAAGCCGTCTTTCTGCCTCCGAAGTCATCACTCGCTGTGCTGGATCAAGCTGCTGTTGCTCGAGTAGCAGCCGTTCCACTTCGTCGGATGTTTCTCGAATGTGCTCAGCTTTCTTAGCGAGCTCAGGATCTGAGCTGCCGGCCTCGTGTATGCTGCGATAAAGCTTGATGGTCTCCAAGCTGAAGCTGATGACCGTCATGACGTTGCAGGCCATGCTGATGGCTTCGACGCCCGACATGGTGAGAGCGAATCGGCACGAGCCGACGTAAGATGCGGATGGGAGTCGATGTTGATGGGGATGCCCCCCTAATCGGCCACCATGAACGGGAAAACGAAGGACTAGCCTGGTGAGGGATATGAGAAGTTTTCTGGTGAGGAGAAAATTGGAAAGCAAGGTGGTGCCGCGGGGACTGCCGACAGGCGTGGAGCGCAAGCGGAGGGGGGCACTTGTCGTCGCGATGAGCTGCGGCGCAGCAACCGCAGCGGTAGAATCATTGGTTGCGGTCACAACACGTGGAACACTTTGGATATCGCAGGCGTATCATATGCACTTCTGATTGATCAAGATAGGTGTAGCCTGGGTTGTGCTCCGATTTGTTTTCCAGGGTAAAAGGTAGGCAGTCAGTTACACAGCCTGATTTTGCCTTGGCCGCGATCTCCAGCCACACACCTCATCCCTGTTGGCAAACCATACGAAAGGTAAGTAAGATGACATTGTATGCGGCCTTTGACATCGAATGTGATTCAGTCGCACCGGATCGAAATACAGATGGCGTGGACAACAAGGCTCTTGAGCTCCACGAATAGCTTCACTCCACTGCTGTGCTTTCGTCGGAGCCACTCAGCGACACTGGATTCATTAGTATGACAAGAAAATCAGAATTCGACGTAAACAGGAATCTTACGCAGGAAACGTACTAGCAAAGTCAGCAAGATTGTTCAAAGGTTGGAGGCAATGTCACTTACACCGCCGTCGCCACAGTTGCGCTCGTTTCCGGCGGGACGAGTACAGTCACCACGGTAAATGTTGTAGTCGCTTACAGGGGCGCCTGGCACATCGCACTATCTTCATAGGAGCTCCCCATGTCCGCGTAGTCAATCTGTCGAGATTAAGCAGGACTGACACAGAATTGGTTCCTTCCGCTCTCCTGGTGATTTGTTAGCAAAAGCAGCGAACTGCGTGTATGATTCACTTACGCATCCCAATCGTGTTGAAATGCCATAGGATGTGCACCAGGCTCCGTAGACAGTGGGAGCCAAGAGCGAAAGGGTGTAAATGACGCTGAAGAACTTCATGATGGGCTTGTCTATGGGGTTATATACAGTGAATGTGAAGTAAATGATCTAGAATTAGTCAGATGACGAAAGAGCGAAGGCGGAGAGAAAGTTCACCATCCGGGACGCAGTCCTTCTTTTTGGTTAAATAAAGTCGAGAAATATCAGTGGCCCCATTTGAACGTGTCAGTCGCATTCCGCGAGACTCGTCTGTGGCTTACGATTTGGGGCTGTCAACGACTTGGCACTATATTCGAGATTCCCCGTGCAATAGTTGGGATTCTAAAAAGTGGGATTGGCACATAAAGTCAGTGATGTGATTTAAGCTTGTTGCAACTTGTGAGTCTGATTCATTACAGGAGCTACAGCTGTAGCTAAGAAACGCTCTCCTTCACTGAGCGGTCCCGCCAGAATCTCATCTCCAGCGGGAATTGCTTGCTAGTCAGCGAGTCTTGGCACTGTCCGTTCACTCTGGGTTCCACGCCCTCCGAGGCATCCACGGGATTTCCAGACCGGTCTGCGACTCAGAACCTGCTGGGTTCACTAATCAGTCCCCATAGTCTGGCATTACCCAGGCACAGCAACGAGACCACCGCCTGTGTTATATGATCCTATTGGAGGAAATGAATGTTGTGACGGGCGTGGTCTACCGGATCGGCGGCATCATCAATATGGCAGCGTATCGAGATCTTCCGTTGGGCCAAAATAAGCGGTGTCTCTAAAAGACCATTACTCGAGCCACCTGGATCCTTGTAATTGAGGAGGTTTGATTCCAGGCCTAAGGTGTGATAATTGAAAAACACAAAGCTGAGCGCGGTCGCTCGAAGCGTGTGACGCTTACTGCCTCAATCATCAATGGCATGTGGCCTAAACTTGTACCGACCATACGGACGCCGGACTGTTGATTCGATATCAACTCGGATAAATTCTGTGACCTTGAAAGAGTTATTGTAATCTTCGAATGCCGCAAATTCGCCGGCTCATTGGACATGCGACAAGGTGGACTGCTTCTCTGCAATTGAACGCGCGAGAGTGCGAACAGAACTAACGAAGCTTTCGACAGCACATAGCTTTCGTTCGAGAGCTTTATCCTTCTAAACATTCAACTGATGCAAGCAGATAACATCGAAGACTAAATGCTCCGCAACTTAGAGTGTACGATTATTCGTCGTGCCGATCCTACTATTGCCCCCCAGACGGGCCAACCCCGCACCCTCGTGTCGAGGGAAAACTGTTTCTCAGTTGCGACGCCTGCCGTCCAGGGTATGCAGCGACGTATTTTAAATATCTTTTTAGCAGGATCGACCTTGGTATAATCCTTACTCATTGAAGTGAGTTCACTTGCCATGATTGTGACTATCTTGCGCGCGATGTTGACGTCGCCGGCCGACTGTCGTACGCCCTTGACGTGCTCACGCTTCGCGAGTCGCCCAGCGTCAGAGTCTCTCTCCATATCACATTCCCACGCTATACACAATAACAATAAGAGGGGTTTGTCATGCAAAATGTCCGGGAAATTGGTAGAACAATCAGGGGCATTTTCTTGAGCCTTCGAATCAATGGATTCATCAGGAAGCTTGTGATGAAACCCACTACTCTCTCAATCATGGTCCGAAGATTAGCGACTTTGAGGAAGCTCGTACAACCGCTATCCAGACCGCTTCTCCACATGAGCGCAGGAGTCATCCAACTTGGACTCAATATCGCCATCCGCTGCCGCACGTACAGCACTCGCCACTCTGTGTTCCTCCTTGAGTTCCTTGAATTTCTTCTCCGCATCCCAAGTCCAAGGTGTATCCGCTGCAAATAGGAAGTCCATCTCCTCAAGTGTTCGCTGGTTCGACTCAGGGTACAGGGCCCAGACTGCGGTGATGCGTTAGTACAAATTAGAGGCATCCATCTCGGGCAGGATTCTCACCGATTGGAATGCTGATCACGTTGACAGAGGCAAAGATGTACATAGCGTTCTCGTTGATCGCACCGACGATGTATGGAAGGACCAATGTGAGGGTTCTGGGGATGATCATTAGCAGAAGTAAAGAAAAAGAAGTGGGAGAGCGTACCCATTTCCGATGCTCCAGCCAACAACACCCCAGGCGTTGCCCTTTGCGCGAACCTGCAGCGGGAATATCTCACTTGGGTACAGCCATGGCACTGTTAGCCATGTCGCACCGAAAATACTTGTGTAGAGGAAGACCATTGACGCTGCTGCTGCTCCCCAGCTGCTCGCAGCATCCAAGTTTCCGCTGGCTCTGGCATTGAGGCCTCCTCGAGAAAGACCACCCACGAGGAACATGGATACTGCCTGCGCAGTCGAACCCCAGTATAGTGTCCAGCGACGACCGATTTTGTCGATGGTGAAGACGCAAATGAGTGTGGCGAACATGTAGAAGATGTTATTCAGGCCGGAAACCCAGAGGGCTTTCTGCGGTCCGAACCCGGCGATGTGGAAGATGGCTGTTGTCAAGGATCGTCAGTAAATTGATGCAGCTGGTGTCATGGGTGGTAGGGGAATTGCTTACTCGGGCCGTACATGGTGATTCCCGCAGTACCAGTCCAGCACTGAATGATCTGAAGCCAAATGACCAGCTGCACTCTTCTCCCGGTGTGGAGCTTGCCTGACTTGAGACCGAAAAGCATGTGGTGATAGCCGGTTCCTTCGGATGAATCCTCAATTCGAAGAACGTCTTGAATGTCAGACAACTCGGCTTCAGCGATCCCATTGCCAGTACCGAAGTCTTTGCAAGATGTACAAAGCCTCGTCGTGTCTGTCAACCTTGCAGAGCCAACGAGGAGACTCGGGAAAGAGGAAGCAGCCAAAGAGCAGAAACAGCAATGGAATGATCTGGAATGCGATGTGGAACCGCCATCGAAAGGCAGACTCTCCGTTGTCGATGAAGCTGACACCGTATCCCAGCCAATACGCAACCACCACACCAAAGATGTTGAGGGTGAACTCCATGGCGATGAAGGAGCCTCTGGAGGTGTAGTCCGCCAGCTCGGATGCCCACACCGGGACGATGCCGTTTAGAATGCCAGTGCCAATTCCGTTGACGAGCCGGGAGCCGATCATCCAGTTCGCGTTCATGGACGAGCACTGAAGGGAAGCTCCAAAGATGCCCCACAGCGCACCGATGGCGATGGTCTTGATTCTTCCGAAGCGGTCACCGATGGAGCCTCCTACCATGCAGCCGACGAGGGTGCCGAGGTAGAAGACTGACATGATGCCGCCTTGGAGAAGAGTATCGGTGACCACGGGTACACCGTCATCGTCGACGTAGCCGAATCGCATGAGGTCGATGTAGTGCTTTGCGTTGTTAACGCCACCCATCATTCCTTGGTCATAACCTGTGCAGCCGCATGTCAGTCCTTGGCCACTGACGTATTCTCGTGATGCTGCAAGTTAGATGAAGTACGTACCGAAGAAGAAGATTGACATTCCCGCGAGACAGTTGACTGCGATGAGAAGGGCGCGCTTCTCGAATCTCGCGGTGACTATCCATTTGTGTCGTTGATCCATCTTTGCGCCGTTCGAGATTCAGGGGAGGAATAAGGTTGAAGGCAGTGGATGAACATAGGAAAATGTTAATCTGTGCACAGCTGAACGAGAATGTTTAGTTGAGATCAGACATTATATACTTGGTTCGAAATGCCGGCATCCCACCTCGCTTCCTCACTTTGATGTTGAACAAACTGCCCTGCCAGACACAGATGTGTTGACTACGTCACCTATGGACCGAAGACTTGACCGTTCGTACGAGTTATCCCGACGCGGGGAAACCCCACGGGGTATGAAGGTGGCTTCATTCTGGGGTTGGGAACATGCCATTCTCAATTACTTTGATGATGCCTGCCAATCCTCTTCTGTCTTCTAAGTGATGCCTGGTAATGGCTCGTCCTGATGGCGCTCGCTCTGTCAGGGGAAACACATGGATCCGAAACAATCCGACCAATGCAAATCGTGGGGGAGGTGGGGACTCGCAACCGATGTTACCATTGAAAGCATAGCGTTCGTCTAAGCAAGTCAGGTGTCTGTCCCTCGAGACGAGCAGTTCGGCTCCCACATCATAGTCCACACAGATGAAGAGTTCCCCTGCTGAAGATTACTAGATATGCATGAAAGCTGCAAAAAAAACCGTACAATTTTGTCGTCTGCCTGCTTTTAGAATCGGAATTTCACTTGACTGACGTTCGAAGGCGGACGACCTCGTACCCAGGAACCACCACACTACTCCCCTAGGAAGGGGTTGGAAGATGAGGATTTGACTACGCGATATGGTTATCCTCATTGGCGGCATTCGAACTCAATTCATAGTAACGGAAGAGGACACTTATGAGAGTTTGCTGAGTGCCAAGCCCTTTTCGAAAGACGGCAGCATCGTGGCGATTCCTGAGACAAGGTTCCAGAGTGCGGTGGTACTCACCCTTGTCCCCAAAGTAGCGGAGCGTGAGACAGCATAAGATTGACTGATGCAGTCCACTTTTGGATGGGCAGAGAGCGTGAGACAGCATAAGATTGACTGATGCAGTCCACTTTTGGATGGGCAGAGATTTTTTCGTCCCTCCTTTGACATGCAAAGTGGAAGATACAGTCATCCGGGATGGGCCGATTAGGCGCATGTCTCAAAGGGAAGTCATAAAAGGGGCAGAGAGAAGTTTCCCCAAGACAGGCCAATCATCTCTGCCTGGATGCTGAGACTCTGAGTATGCATGCAGCTGCAGTTGAATGTCTTTCATGAGCAACACTTGCATATTTGGACATGTAAGGATCCTTCATGCAAGTACTGCCAGACTGCTTCACACCCAGGTTGATCACCCAGACTTGCTCAATACCTCAAAAGATGCAAAGTTGTCAATGAGATGGTATTTTCCGTCTGGATCTCACGCAGCCCAGGGTTTCAAGCTGTTCTTCACTATCACAAGTCAAGAGTTCACCATCCCTCGATAGCATATGATCTTCCTCCATGCTCCATGTCCACCGAGTGACTGACATCCCAGCTGTGTGGGAATCTTCCCTCATGCCAGTCGAGCCAGGACATTGGGATTCCCATCTGAAGCCCAAAGGCCATTGGCCCTGAACGTGCGTGATATCACTTTGAGTTTAGCAGTTGGATACTGTCGAGTTTCCAAGATTCACCTGCCCCAAGCCTCGACAGATATCTCTCACCTTTCCAAACTTGATCTGAGGCAAGCTCCTGCTTCATTCAGAGATTTCATTTCACTTTCACCATGATCTTGATTTCTCAGTCGGGGAAGTCTTTTCGAGGTCTTCTTCAGCTGAAATGGAGGGCAGAGATCTCTCCTTCTCTTCTTCTGCTTCTTCTTCCTACTCAACACCTCAAACCTTCCTTGGGGACCCTCCAATCTCTCTCCCCCTCAACTTCTTCCCTTCCTCCACCGAAGGGTGACTTCAAGCTGACTTCGGATAGCTACTGCTCTCTACCTCACTTTGGTCACCAAATGTCGAGATAGATCATCCAAGTCTCCCTCATCCTGACCGGCAGCCTTCCTCTCTTTCAACCTGCCGCAGCAATATTCATACCGCGACCGCCCTTCGTTACCAAAACATCGACAGCCTTTCCGGTACGCAACCTACAAGCAGTCGAGAGTATCATCAAGCGCCCCGAGTCGACGTCGGCTCTTCCTGCCATTCGGCCCAGCTTTCCGTCTCTTCTCCGACTTGGACCTGTCTTTTCAGCGCGCGCAGGCTTCGCCAAACAACGTCACAAGGGGCAATCTACTAAAAACACCAAAGCATCATTTTTCAGCTTCAGAAAGAGCTCAGTCGGATCGCACTTGAATTGCCTCCCCGAGGTGATCATATCGAAGGTAGGTCTTTCCATTTTTTACCTCACACCGCTCGACGCGATTTGCTTTGGTGGCCGTTGCCCATCTGTCCATCTTCCCATCAGAGAAAGTCAATAACCCCCGCCTACATCTACCTCACCTGTTTTGCGGACTCTCCTGCCCTGAAACGTCCCTTCCTTGCAGCGTGGTGCGCTCCCTAACTGCCGCTGAGAAGGAGCCATCTCACGCGCCTACCTGTGGCAGTCTGGCAACACCTTTCTTTCTTTTCCCTAGGTCTCCTCCGCGCCAAATGCCCTCTCTCGTTTCTACCTCAAACCACCACGCCACTTGACCTTCGTCCATCACAATCGTCAACTCGACGGTCTCGGGCTTGGTAAATACCGTGGTTGGGACTCGGACACTCTCCACTCCATTTGTCGCATTACACAGAAGGCAAGCCTTGTCCATAGCCATCAGCAGTTTTGCTTCCCACTCTCGTCCTCAAATTTACGATATTCGTAAACTAACTTTGGTTTCTCGGCAGTTTTTCCAGAAGCAACCTCACATCATTTCGACTCGCAATTCGCACCCACAACACGACATTCAACTTTATTGACCCCGCAAGTCACCCTACATCATGGCGGGCAGCTCTTTCCAAATGAGCCTGACCCTAGCCGAGAGCGGCGACGATCATGTCGTTTACGCCTCAACTGACGACGGCTTCAACGACGACGACGCCAGTGAGGCTGGCGACGACTTTGCCAATCACCATACAACTGCGCCTTCCTCGAAATTGGGTCCGGCTGACCTTATTGATCTTTCCGATGGAGACTTCGCTACCAGCCCATCCGGCACTGCGGACAACAGCCCCTCCAAGGCCAACCAACCGGTGCCTCCTCAGCCTGATGCGCCCGTCCCGGGAGACAAGCAGAATTCGTCCCTGGACAACTATCCTCAGGCGACCAAGACTCCTGACCCGAGTGCCCAGCCTTTCGTGCCTCTGGAGTAGGTGACCCGCAATCAGCATCTGCGATCCAATCCATTTGGTCCGAATGTCAAGGCTAACAAATTTCTAGGCTAGAGCGTGTTGCCCCCTCGTCCAGCAACTCCTCTTACACCGATGCTCGCCAAAGTCTCGACTTCCGAGATGATCAGATTCAGTCCCTCACCAATCGCGTCAAAGAGCTCGAGCACAGTCACGAGACTCTGAAGCGTGAGAACGACGATCTCGACACCGTCAACGAGAAGCTGAAGCTCAAGGCACGCAAGGATGATGAGAGCCTTCGAGAACTGAGAGAGCAGCTTGCCGAGGAGCTGAAGCGCAGACTTGGTTCCGAGAAGAAGGCTGTTGAAGTCGATGAGAAGAATGCAGAGCTCCATGTGGAGGTGGCTCGACTTCAGGAGGAAAAGGCTGACATGGAGCCACAACTTGAAGAGTACAAGAAGAAGTTGGATGGGTCCCAGAAGAGCGTCAGGCCTCTTGAAAACATGGTTCACACCCTGCAACGTCAGGTTCTCGACAAAACGCAACGCATCAAGGAGATTCAACTCTTCGCTGCCGACCATCTTGCCAAGAATCCTCAGGATATTCCCGAGTTCGCCACTATGGATCTGTTTCCACATGGCGGTAAGCAGGAGCATCAATCCGGAAAGGAGGTCAATCCGGAGCTTTTGATCTCTTTCGACGGTGCTGCCGACATGAGCGCCTCTGGAAGTCAGCTGAACGAGTCTCAGAGCGAGATCGGAACCCCCTTCACCGTCTCCTCCGTCAGAGCCCCCTCAACTCCCCAGCCCCATCATACTTCCAAAGACCTTCTCGATGACGACCCAGCAGATACACAAAGCCCCCAGACCTTGCCTATCATGACCCCCTCCATCCCCAAGTTGCAGCGGGAAGAGTCACTGACGCCTCAGGCAACCACCGAGTCGCACACCACCGAGCCCAAAAGCCCCTCCGACGACCTCACAAGTCCTCCAAAGGACATTAGCGGACTTGATTGGAGTCCCGACTCTGATCAGCTCTGGATCTCTGAGTTCCAGAAAGCTCAGGCCATCCGCAATCACCAGGGAGCTCGAAGCACCGGTCACACTCCCGGTATGTTTACTTATGGGATTCGGTTTGTGCGCCAACGCAACAGGCAGAAGCTAATGACAGAGGATGACATCCCAGATGTTGCATCTCGCAGGGTCATCATGTCAGGTCTTCCCGACGGTGTCCACGTTCAGCGAATTCTCGAACACGTCCGAGGTGGTAAGATTCTGAAGGCTCATACGGTGACGATGGGCGGAGGTGAGGCTCGTAACAATCTTGCTTGCATCGAGTTCGCCGATCCCGAGGATGCAATGGAGTTCTACCGTTTCAATCGACGCCGCGAATTCGGATTCTGCGTCGAGTCCACATCTGTCAGAACCCGCCTGACAATGCCCTCCACCGACTCCTTCCCCCTGAGCGATGCGTTGCAGGCTCGTCTAGGTGAGGGCTGTACTCGCTGCCTGTCTGTCACTGATTTTCCGGTCATCCATTTGCAAACTATTCTGGAGTTCGCAGGAATGTCGAACAACTTCGCCGACACAATCACCCACTTCGCCTGTTCTGATGACGGAAGCTTCGAGATCTCCTTCTCCGACATTCGTTGTGCCATCAACATTCGCGAGTACATTCTTCGGTCTAAGTTCTTTGAGGGAGAACGAGAGGGCACTGGCGTGTGCTTCAAACCTGACCCCTGCGATGCTCCTGTTGAGAGCCTTCAGATTCCGTTCCTGCCCATCAAGGCCACGTCTGACTTGACAATTTTGGACCCGAAGAATGCTCGTCTCTTCATGACTGAAGAGCAAAGAAAGCTGGACAGCGAGCTGCTTCAAGAGCAGGTCATGGCAGCGGCTGACCCAGATGATGCGGACGCTTTTCATGAGCAAGATCTTAGAAAGAACATCGTCTGGGAAAACAAAGTGGACTGGGACAGCTTTACGCCCTACATGGCCTTCGACAAGGACCAACGCCGAAGAGTGCTGCACAGGAAAGATCCCGAGTCTGGCGCTGTCCAAACCCAATATTTTGGTAGTTGGGTGCAGTCTCCTGCGGAGTCGCGCAAGGAGTGGCTGCACCACAATCAGCACAGCCCCCACCCATGGACTCAGACAACTGCCGATCTTTTCTATGCCGCTACTGGCGACATTGATATGCGCAAGGTGAATCTTTACCTGAAAAGCAAAAAGGACAACGTTGCGAAGTTGGAAGATGGCAAGACTAACGAGTGCGATGATAGAGCATCGTTGTCGACGACGGAGGTCTTGATGGAGACGCCGACCAGGCTTTGAACACCCCGACGCCCAGGGAGATCCGGCGGCAGGCATCGTCCACCACCTCCTTCTACTCAGCCGAATCCCCTCTCTCGGAAGTCAACCGCGGATACATGACCCTTGACGACACTTCTCAGCATGTCCCAATGGGCGTCTTCGTCAACCACGTTGGCAGCAGCTCGGGGCTGGCCATTCCCTCTCTTTTGGACGGAGATACCAACGTCGATATGAACAACTTTGTACAACGCACGCAGAATCTACCCCCACACAAGCGTGGCAAAACCCGTGGAAGCACCTCAGGCTACTCCTCTCCTGCTCCCTCGATCATGGATGACGATACTGGAGGACAAGTCTGCGGCATCTCGAAGGCAGGCTTCAACCAGCTTGCTGCCAAGATTGCGAGAGACACAAAGGCGACATCTAGCAAGGCGATTGGAAAGAGACCAGTTGCGCAGGCTCACTTTTGGTAAGGCGTTCGGTTGGAAGGCCTGGTTCTCATATTTGGAAGGCCGTTTGGCGAATATTTGGTCCAGTATGGACATCGAAGGACTTGCTTTGCTGCAAACAGCAGCGTAATATTCAGGTGATCTCTGGTCGTGGGCTAGCAATATACCACATGACGGTGGTAAAGCGGGAGCATGGTTCATCAGACAGACACAGTAGTAGATAGAGAACACCAACAGCAGTATCATCAATCTTCGTGCAGCGGCAAGTTTCGTGACCTGCATCAGTGCCCCTAGTCATGATTGCATGATTTCATTGTTTGGAATAGCGACCGCTGGGACGCTTTATACTAGAATACATATGCCTATCTGCCCGGATAAGACTACCGTAGCGCCGAAAACCTTGGCTTTCGGTCCATCGCAGAATTGCATGCTTGGTTCTGTCACTCCCTTGGGGACACCGGCATGTGACTGCCGCCCTCATAACTCTAGGACGGGCCCAGGACATCCCCTCTCGCTTCATTGGCTTCCGGCTTGAATCACCACGAAAGCGTAGGCTGCACTCTCGGCGGAGGCTCATCCGTGACGACCAACATCTCATCACCCTCTCCCTCCCCCTCCACCTCCTCTTCCTCCTCGTCCTCCATCGCCTCTTCATCCTGCACCTCCTGCGCCGCCGCCACCTCCGGGTCACCGCCCTCGAAGGCCTCGGAGACGGACGAGTACTTGCGCTGTGACCAGCCGGGGCTGAGGTATTTGTCGAGGGTGTCGTTGCCGTGCTTGCCCTTAACGGGGGTGGGGTTGTTGAGGAGGTACTTTTTCGTCATGCAGCGCGGGATGTTGGACTCAGGCTCCCAGGTGGGGTTCTGGTCGGGGGGCCAGTTGCCCTTCCAGCGGACGGCGAAGTAGCGGACGGGCTTGCCGCGTACGTGGCGGATTTGCAGGCCTTCGAGGCGCAGGACTTCGTAGACGTTCGAGAGCTCGTCGCGGTCTGGGTCGAGGACGTTGATTGTTGATTTTGAGGGGGAGGGTTTTGGGAGGAGTTTTGGTTTTGGTTTCGGGGTGGCGGCGGGTTCGGTTGGGTTGATGGGCTGCGATGGTGGTGGTGGTGGTCGGGATAAGCTCCAGGGGGTTGCGCTTTGGGCTGCGGGCGTGAAGCGTGTTCGTGGGGTTATGGTTGTTGTTGGGGCTGGAGGGGCGGAGGCGGTTGTTCGTGGGGTTGAGACGACGGTGCCGGAGAGGGAGTTTGTGCGCGGGTTTGATTTTATGGCGACGCCGTTGATTGGGGGTGTGATTGCTGTCTCCTTGATGTTTGGTGGTGGTTGCCATTGTTTTGGTGTTGGTGTTGTGGTTTTTGAGCATGTTGGCTGGAGGTGTGGTGAGGATGATGATGGTGGGTCTCTCATTGATAGAAGGGAACGCTTGGAGGGAATCGGAGGTTGGATGGGTGTGATCTTCTTCATTCTTGATGGAGACGTCGACTCGTATGTTGCCGAAGCTTGTGGTACAGGAGGGAATGTTTGTGGTGGTGGTCGAGCTGCTTGTGATGTGGGAGGTAGAGGCGGCAGTGCCGGTGAGCTCGTAGCTCCTCTTGACGAGTCGAAGGGCGTGCTTCGGCCGCTGTCCGTCTCAATCCCTGGTAACAACCTCGAAAGCGCCGGGCCTGGTGATATCCTCCTCCGCTTCTTAACCGGCGGCTCCAAGCTCATGGGCATAGCTTCCTCCTCCCTCGAATCGTATTCCTCCTCTGCCAGAGAATCCGCCGCAGAAACCGGTTCGTCTCCATTAAGCTGCCGAAAGATGGCCTCCTCGTCATCCGGTGTCTCCGTACCACCCTCCACTTCCGTCTCAAGCTCCCGAAACTCCTCCAGCCGCGCCTTGGACGGCGTCGAAAGCGACGGCGCACTTTTCTTCGGCCGGCCAGGCTTCCTCTTCCCATCCCCCTCCACCGGTGTCTCGGCCCTCGCAGCAGCCATCTCCGCCTTCGTCCTGCGCTTCCTGTTGCCCGTGACAACATCTTTCCGCGGCGTATCCTTCACCCCATTCCTCAGCACCAACATGCCCCTCTCGCGCGCCTCCGCCTCCGCCACGGCACGCACGTTCTCCTCCTCCTCCCTGCGGCGCTCCTCCTCGTCCCGCTCGGCCGCGCGCGCCGCGCACCAGTCCTCGTACGCTGCGGGCGAGACATAGTCCACGACGCGCTCCGCGTCGACCACGAGCCGCGCCGCGGGGAGGTCGCTCCAGCCGACGACGTACTGCAGGCGCTTCTTACCGTCCTGCGAGAGCGGCGGCGGCACGAAGAACTCGTCGCGGATGTAGGCGGTGCTGTCGCGCACGGGTACGAGGGTTATCGGGCGCAGCGGCGGGCCGGTGCCGGGGGTGTAGGGGCGGTAGGTTGCGATGTCTTTGAAGACGACGGCGAGCTCGACGTGGGAGGACGAAGAGGTAGTGTTGGGCTGGCGGGAGGTCGGAGAGGGCCGGCCGAACCAGACGGTGGTTCGTCGCGACATGGTTGTCAGCTTCTTCTGAGAGTGACCATGCGGCAGGGGATTTTGCGAGGGGTTTTCGGGCCTGATGGCAGACTTGGAGGAGGAATTTCGTCGTCCGGTCGTCGGAAGGGGTTCGCGGTTTTGGGGTTCGTGTCGTCTCGTGTCTGTCGCGACCCCCGAACCACGCTGCAGGAAAGGGAAGTCGCAATAGCTCGTCAACGCCGGCAGCTGCGGATGTCAGAAAAAATGACCCAACGACCTGAGTGGTTTCTGGATTCGAGAATTTTACGTACATGAATTTTGAGGACGTTTTGCGGCTGGGACGCATAGTTTCGTGTCAAGGGCTGGATGCTTTGTGAGGTGGAGGAGGGGAGGAAATCCAGAGCCTATAGATCTAAATTAGTCTTTTTTCAGCACAGACGGCCACTAAAACTACTTTAACACATCCTATAGCTATGTTAGAATCTCTAGCACTTAAGGTTCTATATATTAAGTAAGAGGGCTTTAGTTTAAAGTATATTATAACTAATTTATTAAAGCTTAAATAAGTATTTAATTTTTTAAGTTTAATAGCTTTTAAACCTTTTAAAATAAAGTAAGTGTCACGGTCAGCTATCCGACAGTAGGGTCTGCTAACAGAAGTTGGGGATTGACGTTTAAACAGTACACTGGGGTCGTGGTCGTAGGTCGTAGGTCGTAGGCTGTAGTAGATCAAGTCTTCAGAGGCTAAGTTGATCAGTCTTAG